AACATTCAATTAACTTTTCAGTTCCAATGCCCAATCCAATAATCCATATATGGGGTAAAAAGACCATTTTACCCTTCATCCAAGACTAAGGCCCAAACTTACAATCAAAGGCTCACAAACCAAATACTCATCCAAAGCCCACTTATGGACTAATTTTCCAAATTGGGCCCAAACTCTTACATGGGCCTTACCCTAAAGCCCACTAACTTTTCCCCAAACCCCACACTTGTCAAAAGATGGCCCAATAAAGCCTCGAGCAATCCAAGCCCAAACCCGAAATGGAACCATAAGGCCCACTAAGGCCTAAATATCCAAATTGGTCACAAACCCATCGTGGGCCTAACCCAAGAAGGACCAACATCCAAAAAGGCTCAAAATAACCAATGGTCAAACATGGTCAAACTTGTGGTCAACACTCCATGGACAACAAGTCAACAAAACAAGAAAATCCCAATAGGTCGAGTACACCTCGCGTACTCAGCTTTTATGCCTAGCGTACACCCTTTGGGGCTAGTACGCGTAGTGTACTAGATGGGTACGCCCAACGTACTCCCATGAACCCCAATCATATCCATTAAGCACTTAACCACTTAAGTCCTTGCTTCAATTTCTCATATCTACTTCCTATTGATGACTTATCACGTAAAGTTTGCAACTTTACTTGCATGCATGGCTTAATGGGACTCGAGAGCTCAAAAGAGCTTAGTGAAGGGTCTTAACACATGCATGAGTCCACATAAACCATAAAGATCACATTTTTATGCCTTTGGGACACCTAAAACGTTTAGATCTACAAGATCAAGCCTCTAAAGCAACCTTAGTAACCAGTAGTCTAGGAGCAAGGGTAATTCTAGGAAAAGTGCCTAGGAAGTTAGTTGTAGCTCACATGAGAAGTGGGTGTTAGCACACCTAGGAGTGGTTTAGTGTAGTGACTTAGAACCTTATTATGAACACTAAATCAACTATGGATAAGTGTGAAAGGTAGTATGAGCCTATACTACTGAAAGCACAAGATTCATATGAGATTCAGGAGGAATTTTGAGGCTGCTAAGAAACTAATAGGAGTAGGGCCTAGTGTGTTGCGCACTGTGTTGTGATGTCTGATCTTTCCTTGGTATATTTTTCAGTATGACAACTTTTGAATGTTCAGGATTAGGAGATTACAGCACCGGGGGAGCATTTCTAATTGAGGAGGAGATTCGTTGGATCATTGTTGTAGAAATGGCTGAGGCGATCAGGGAGATTACACCAGAGTTGTTCGGGATGGTCAAGGCTTCCATGATTGAGCTATTTGATGATCGTTATGCTGCTCTTTATGAGGTTGTTGTCGTTGCAGCTATCGCTACTGTTGCTGCTATTGGGGCTTGAGGAGTAAGAGCTTTCCAGTATCAGGACTTCGATAATACGAAGCCTCCAGAGTTTGATGGGGTCTTGGACCTGATTGTGGCGATGAGATGGACGTTTGATGTAGAGGGTTATTTCTTCATGTGGTTCTTGTTCGGATGACCAAAAGGTTTAGTTCGCCCTGGAACTTCTCAATTTAGGGGCATGTGATTGGTGGAGACTGGTTACTATTTCTTATACGCCTGAGTAGAGGGTCGCGATAACTTGGGAGCAGTTCTTGGAGATGTTCCATTCAAGGTATGTTCCCCTTGTAGAAAGGGAAAGACTAGCCCAGGATTACCTGGATCTGAGACAGATGACCGAGTCGGTGATAGAGATCACCAAGATGTTCATTGAGAGGGCTTTGTTCAGTCCTGAGTTCGTTGCTTCAGAGCAGGCTCAGATGACTCGATATTTGAGCATGCTCAAGATGGACATTTGGCAGTTTGTGTGTACCCGGCAATACAACACTCTTGTTGAACTTTAGGATGTCGCGAGGAGGCGAGAGATTGAGATCGAGACCCAAGAGAGGGAGCAGTGTGAGGCTCTGGATCAGTCCCAACCTGCAGCAAAGCGGTTCAAGTCCACCGAGCAGAGTTCATGATCAGTTGGAGGGAGGCACATCTCTTTTATATGCCACAGGTGTGGCGAGAAGGGCCATTTTGGTAAAGATTACAGGCGGAGTGTGCGAGTTTGTTTCCATTGCGGCCAGAAAGACCACATTAGAGTTCACTGTCTTTTTCTGAGTGAGGTGTTGGATCCTACACCCTTAGCTTGGCAATTACCCTATGGTCATCGTGGGACTGCCAGGGTCCCAAGGACTAAGATTTGAGTTGGCAGTTCTTCTATTTAGCAATTGTGGTAGTATTGTATTTGTCTATAACTTCCGATTTTGAAATCGCCGATGCCGAGTGGCCGGTCGATATCTAAGACTCGTCACGATGAATATGTCGAGTAATTAGTTTGATTGTTTGATGAATACACAAAGCGAGTTGATGAGGAAGGGAAAAGTTGGAGAGAGAAAGTCATAATCAATTTCAATTTTATTTAATAAACACGATGGGAAAAAACGTAACGCTTGTTTTATTTTTTATTTATTTTTTCTTTTTTAGACAGTATTGGATGTCTAATTCTTTGTAGTAAATCAAGAAATTTTTATTGAAGTCATCATAATTTTTATAATAAACATTGTTTTGTCTGTCATAACACAAGTGTTCATCATAATTCGTCTACCAATGAAATGAAAGTTTTTTTTGCTAGCAGTGAGAATTTGTCGTATGAGTGGTGATGTTTACACTTTCTCATCTCCCTAGCACCCTGATGAGCTTGTTAGAACATGGCTATGGTGTACGTCTAAATTGTGTACCAATGGTTATATAGTCGTTTTTAGGTGGTTATAGACTACCAACTCCATCCACTAATGTTAAAGGCTATTCTTAGGATGTACTATATTTTGCTTTATTTGAATGAAGTTATTAGTTTCCTTAATAGTTTTTTGTATTTTGTCTTTATGTTAAATTAAGAGTATGATGCTTAAAGTAATATATTTTTAAAGGAAACATGTTAATGTCAACGAACTAAAATATTGAAAAAAAGAATCTATATATATATATATATATATATATATATATATATATATATATATATATATATATATATATATAATTACGAAATTTGATATATAAAATTTTTTCGATAAAAATAAGTTGTAAGAATGTGGTTTGCTATAATCATATGTATGCTTTTCACTAACAAATATACATTTTATATTTGGGAAATGACTTTGCAAGGACAATGAATTATCCTTTGTGTATACATTTAGTCATTTTTACAAATATTTTACCATTAAACTCACCAGAGCTATTTAAAACCTACCATTTTGATAAGGTAATGTTTTATGTACACGATTCATCATTAAACTATTTTTGTATATGATTTACCAATGAATTATGTCTCGGTCATCTTCTCATGCCAACACCATTCAATCCCACCTCCACCATTCACCTCCAACAACAAACACTACCTTCTATCACTTTCATTCGCCACAATAAACATCCACCTCCACCAAAAAGAACCACCTTACATGCTTGCGCTGTACTTGTGGCACACGATTCAACAAGAAAATGGGAAGAGAAAAGGATGGAAGAATAGAGTCGTTTTCATAAATTTACAAGAGAGATAGAGAGAGAACAGAGAAAGGTGCGAGCGACAATCGTGAGGATGTCAATGATAGTAAAGGGAGGGGATAAGGATGTTCTCACCATAGAGGTGAGAGAGGAAATGGTATGTTTTGCAAGATTTTTGATAAATGAACATGTAAAATGGTATTTTCTTTGACGAAGAAGACATTAAAAAATTGATGATGTTCGGTAAAGATGAAAATGACTATAGGTGTGCAAAATTTTGATTAATAATAAATTGCGTATAAAAATATAAATTCAATGATGTTTTTAATAGTAAATATGGTTTTAATGATGTTTTTAATAGATAAGCCAAAATGATATATTTTAAACAACACAAATAAGTTTAATAGTAAATAATATAAAGAAAAATCAAATATATAAAAATATTGATAGTTTATTACATTATAAAATTACTTTTTATTTATATGTTTTTATCTCACCATCAAGATTATTTATCGTTGATTCTTGAGGCTATAACCTAAATTTTTAAAAAGAAAATAAACTAAAAAGTAAAAAACATGAAGGAAAATAAAAGCCCAAGAAAAAGGCATACATTATTTGATTATCTGGGCAAAAATCCCATAGACTCGTACACTGAAATTGAGCCCAATAAGTTAACAAGGTAAGTCACAAGTGTCAACGGTTAGTTAAGGAAGTCAGGGATCGTAAAAACCCTAAGTTCGAAACAAAAGTTCAAATTCCTGCAATGATTGATCCAGAATTGAATACAGTTCGAGGAGATCTTGAACTTAAGCTGTGAAGTTTGAAGATGATATTAATTTCGGAATCGAAGACTTTAAAGATGATCAAAATCTTGGGATGATCTTGGATATATAAATATATGATCTAGATGTTCATGTTGATTTGAACCTGCCGATAGGTCCGACTCCTGATTCCAGAACCACTTAAAGTAAGTTACTTCCATCTTCATAAACTGAGAATTGTTCCCGGTAAATTGCACATGTGACTGTTGCTGATATGATAACATTTTAAACTGTGAATTTTATTGCTTTCTTCCGAAATTGCTTCTTTGTTGCTCTGGAATTTGTGAAATAAAGTGGTCTTAGTTCAAAGTTCAAACCTTTGATTTGCTTGTCTTTAGTTAGATTGCTCCGATCACTTTTCTTAGAATTTCATTATACAGGATAATTTACGGATAAAATCTGCTTGAAATGTCTATTCAAACATTGGCTCTGATATTGTATATTAGGGTTTTACCTTATGGAGAGGTGGCAGCCTCGCCATGGAAGGAGGGGGAGAGGAAGAGGAAGCTATTCATCTTCATCTTTTTCCCAATCAAACGACTCTGGACCTTCAAATCCTTCAAATCATGTTAGAAAAACAACAACAAATCTTCGCAATTCTGTGATTAACAACAAACAAGACCATAATGATGCTGAAATCCTCCCAAACTTAATTGGAACTTGCCCTTTCATGTGCCCAATTGAAGAAAGAACACAACGTGAGAGACTAAGAGATTTAGCCATATTTGAAAGATTAAACGGAAACCCATCTAAGTCATCTTCTACACTTGCTGTTAAAAAGTTCTGCAGAACAATCTCCTCAAAAGATCTTCGTGACATAGATTTACGCCCCCTTCAAGTATTAGAAGACACCTTAAATTACCTTCTAACCATTTTTGAATCCAAAGAACACCCTTTTGAATCTGTTCATGACTTCATATTCGATAGAACAAGATCCATTAGACAAGACCTGAGTATGCAAAACATCATAACAGGAGATCAAGCTGTTAGCATGTATGAAAGAATTGTAAAGTTTCATATCATCTCTCATCACAAGCTTCGAATAAATGCTACTTCAAATTCAAACGTCTCCCCAATGCATCACCTCAACATGGAACAACTTACAAAGACATTAGCATCTTTATATCACATATATGACACAAATCATAAATCTGGTAACACTTATGAATCTGAAGGTGAATTTTATTCATTTTATGTGCTTCTGCATCTTGGTTCTGATCATCAACCAACAGGAGAGTCATTATCTTTATGGTTCAGAAGTCTTCCTTATTCCATTATGAAGTCAAAGGAAATGATGTTTTCACGAAGGGTTTTGAGGTATTTTCGTTTTGGAAACTATAAATGTTTTCTTCATGCTCTAGAAACCGAAGCATCATGTTTGCAGTATTATGTTATTGAGCCTTACATTAGTGAGATTCGTGCACTTGGATTAGCCTGTTTGAATCATGGAGGTTACAAGCTAAATCCTTATCCACTTGTGGACATATGTAAGATCTTGCTCTTGGAGGAATTTGATGTTGAATCTTTTTGTAAAGATTGTGGTTTGGATACTTTTAGTAGTGATGAAGGAATTAAGTTCATGCCTACAAAGCAAACAAGTTTTTGCTATCCAAAAGGGTCTCAGAGATATTATCAGTTGGTGTCAAAACGATTAAAGAAGTTTTATAATGAAGTGCCTTAAAGAATTGGGGATTTGGGGAAATATTAGTTAATCATTTCAAGCTTGAATTTGAATAAAAGTTTATGGAAATTCAGAAGATGTTTTGTGTATCTATGTAACCTTATATATTAGGGAAAGTTGTAGTTTTTCATGATTCATGACTTCTTTAACTTTAATATACTTTGTTAAATCTTGATAAGGACACTTTAATTGACATTATAGGGCTTTATATAGAGCGACAATTGGCATTATATCCACTACATTTTTGTTTTTCCTGCTACACATAAGGACGGCCATGTTTGATTCCTGCACTAACGATGACAAGGATAAGCCAACTAACCAAATGCAAATTAGGTTATGTTTCATTAGTATGGTAGTAAGATTAGTTGTTTAGAATATTGGTTTTTATCTATTTTCATATGCTAGAAGTTGAATTTTTCAGCTAATCTGCTAAACACAGTCTAAATCAAATTGAGTAATGGGGTCTACAACTTCATTCTCCTTTCCGAAATTATACAATTTGATTACTAAACAACAAACTGTCTAAATGATGAACGTAGAGTACGATAAGTGAAAAGAAAAAGAAAAAAAAAACACTAATTGCAAGTTGTAGATAAATGTTGCATGGACGTTATGATTCGTGAAGTCTTGATCAACCAGTCTCACAACCAACATTAAAGAAGTAAATTCAATAGGTCTTGAAGTTAACATGGAAGACATCAATCAAAATATCCTCAACTATTTGTACCGGAGACCTCACTTATAGATTCTCACATGTAAGTTAACATGGAAGACATCAATCAAAATATCCTCAATGTGCTATTTGTACCGGAGACCTCACTTATAGATTCTCACATGTTTACGGTTAAAGGAAAAAAAATATAAACGTCTGTCACAATTTTCCAAATCAAATAGAAAGCCATTATGTAGTCTTAACCATATATACAACATAGAGATTAAAATGAAACACATATCTTTTGGTTATCATGAACATTTTCTTAACACATTTGTTATAGGATTCTTGAAAGATTCTTAAGAACATCATTCATAGTAGGCCTATATTGGGGGTCATCTTGTATGCAACATTTAGCCAAAAGTGCTAAACACATTGCATCCCCTAAACCATACTCCCCTTCCAAATCTCCATCCATAAACATCTTAAATTTCTCCAAACACTCCGAGGAAACACCACCATCCACCGCAAATTCGACACCGTCCAACCATTTTCTCCCCGTGGCCGCCCCTTTCCCAGATAAAAGCTCCACCAAAACAACCCCATAAGCGTACACATCCACCGTAGTCTCCTCGACTAACGCTGATTTTGGCCAAATTCCTCCGCCTCCCTCCACCTCCACAGTGTAAATTACGGGTGTTGCAAAGTCAAACCCCGAGATTTTTGCCCTACAATCCGTCGTTATCAACACGTTTCCAGTGCTTATATTCCGGTGAACATACATCGGCTTTGTGCAATAATGTATGTAATGCAAACCTTCTGCAAGATCGAATGCAATCTTCAATCGTTTCCCCCAAGTTAAATGTTTTCTTGTTTTCGATTCACGCAAACAATCCCGTAAACTTCCATTTTCGGTATATTCGAAGACTAAATAAGACTTGTCCATATCAAAACAATACCCTTCGATTTTGACCACATTAAAATGGTTGATTGTGGTCAAAATGTTCACAACATGATTAGCGAATTTGATCGAATTCATATCCTTAATCGCCACAAAATAATCTTTGGTGATTCGACCTTTACACACCGATTTCCCAATGAACGAAGATTCTGAGAAGTCATTTGTAGCGAGTCTAAGCTCATCGATACTAAAGCTCGTTAAAGAGTGTTTCAATTTCAACATACCATCGAGTAAATCGGGCGAACAACGGTTAAACTCTGATCCCGGTATGGACACCGGCGATGGTTCGCGGTGGTGAAGCTTCCATTTTATAAAAACTAGAAACAAAAGTACAACGAAAAGAAAAATTGTCGAAAATACAATGAGAAAGAGAATCGAAAACCTCGTTCCAGTGCTACGATTCAAGATTCCAGTAACCGGAATGATGTCATGTGAACTTGGATCATTAACTGTATGATCCAAATTCAAGACAGGGACACCCGTTGTTGGGACCAACAACGTGGTGCCCTCGAAAATGGTTTGTCGTGGGTCCATCTCATTTGCTTCATGGATGGACCCTACCGTCACACCAAACTTCAATGCAATCATATTAAGTGTATCATTTTCCATTACAGGATATGTAACAAGATACCTCGTATCATTTCTCTCGTTAGATGTGTTAACACACGCACACTTAACAGGTACTCTAACAAGTGGTGTCCCATGAAGGTTTCCGTTTTGTTGTGCTAAAACAAACGGCTTCACGAGCCCTTGGTAGACTCCACAAGCGATATCTGGAAACGAATATGCGTTAAAGTTAGTGTAATTGACGATGGATCTAGAGGACCAGTCGGGGCAATTGCAGATGATTGGGACTATGACTTCACGATCTTGGAAATGGGTTGTGGAGTTGAGCTGGGATTCGTTGACGTTGAAAAGGGTGGCAATGGCGGAAAGTGTTTGGTTGGATTGAGGTCTGTAGATGATGAAGGTGTTACAGGTTTTGGTGTTGGAGTTGCAGGAGTAAGTGGAGATGTTGAGGAGAGGGATGGTGGTGTTGCATGGAGTATGGTCGTATTGTTGTTGAGAAATCATGGGTTTTGTGAGTGAAAATAAGAGAAGGGTGAAAAGGAAAGTGAAGGAGTCTGCCATTGTTGGTTTGTGGCAGTGTGACGATTGTGAAGAAGATGAAGTTTTAAGAAATCTAAATTGATTTAACAATGGGTCTGGGCCTGCAATGGCCGGCTTTCAAATTCACAAGTCACAAGTCACAACACCATAATCATAATTTGATTGAATATAGTCATATATTTTGGTTAAGGTTCACGCTCTCTATTCTTTGACACGTAACAAAATATAATACAAATTAAGCATTACCAAAGTCTATGAATCCAATTATCTAACACAAAATAAATTAGATAAAAATGATTGGTATGGAATTATTTGGGTTGGGGTTGAGTCGTTGAGATTACTTTGGGTTGACTAGTGTATTAAAAAATTAAAATCCTAATTACGCACAAATTGTACCGAATAATTTTTTAATGTTGCAACCTTTGTTCTTTATTCGCCACCAACTATCATAAATCATAATTCATTTAATTTAGGACAGAATATTGTGGAATAATCTCATAAACTAGGCAATCTGACAATGAAAGTTTCTTATTGACTAACATGGTTTGGTTTGTCCAAATATATTAGTTAGGGTATTTTTGGTAAGATCAAAGATTCTACAAGGATCAATCTTGGTGTGTAATGAAGTTTAGTACGTATGAGTTTTATTTTGTAATGGCTGTTTGTAATATTTTGGATAGTTGTTATATCGGGTAGTGTTACTTCAGATCATAAGTGTGTGAATTTAGAGAAAATATCTCTCTACACTTGTCTACCATCGTCTTAGAGAAAATATCTCCTGTACACTTGTCTACCATCATCTTCTCATATTAGGGTTTAGTCTCCATGTGTTGTTCATATAAATCTTAGAGTAGTGTTAGGCTTTTGTAGTAAGGATCGAGTTGTAATCTTGAAAACAAATTGGCTATTTATAAAGATGATTGTTTATGTTGTTATTCCGCATTTTCTCATTTATTTTCATGATATTAGAGCCTAAGTCTATTAAAATCTTGTTCTAGTGTTTCATCGATCGATTTTGGTGTTTAGACAACTTTATTTTTTGGATCGAGAAATTAGGGTTTTCCCATTCCATGTTTCATCTTATGGCTTCTGAATGTATACTTGTGGATCTATCTAGATCCAGTGGTTCTTCACTTGTATTTTTGAAGATCGGTGTTATCTGTTGCTGACTGAGTGCCTCGCTCTTTCGTTTCCGGTCATTGTTTAACCTTGGTAGGGTGAGTATTTGGACATCCAGACTAGGAACCGGACATGTCCCTACACCTATATACCTGGCAGCCTCAGTAGGTCTGGTCCAAGTTCCACCAATTTCTGCAAAACCAGTCCGATTCGATCTAAATACTCACTCTTACATCCAAGAACCGGGAACTGGACTTGGATAGGACCAGGTAAGCCTCAACAGGTCTGATTTAAGGTCCACCAACTTCTATAAAAACTGTTCTGGTCCAAGAGTCAATCAAATCTGGTCCAAATGTCCTCCCTTAAACCTTGGTGTTGCGGTTAAAAACCCTCACTGAACTGGTAATTTCTAGTCATAAGTTGTGATCGAAAAATCCAAAAGTGACTATAGGACTTTTGTAAGCCATCTCATTCTTATTCTTTGTTTCTATATGTTTCGGACTCTATCTGGGTCATTTTGATGTTTACGTCTGATACTGTGTTGCCTGTCATTTCTTGCTATTTTTTGTGTTTTGGGCACAATCATCTTATAAGGAAGGTATAAAGCTCTAGTCTTGATGCATATTTCTTTTAGATCTAGCAATATAGTAAGATTTGTTCATTATTGGTCCCATGGCTTTGGATCTTAGGAATTTAAGAAACTCTAGACCTGATGAGGAGTGTTTCCTTTCATTTAAGAGCTTTTTGGTTCATAAAAATGGGATCTTGGTCTTTCCCAATCATGCATGGTTGATCTATTAAGCTTTTAGGTCATGAATAAGACTTAGGGTTGGATTTTGGACTCCTTGTAGCCATGCAAAGGCATAAAGGTTGCAACTTTATGATTCTAGACGTTCATTAGGGTTAGATATGAAGTTTGGATGTTAAGTCTTAAAGCATTAAGACCTTAAAAGAAAGTTTAGGCATCTGAAAGGTACGATGGACGTAACCCTAGGTATGTCAGGCGTACTAGGTTGTTTCCCTGTAAACCTTCCAAGCCCAAAGTCATACATTTAGCGTAAAATGGAGTACACAAGGCGTAATCTTAGAAAATCCATTTGGACATTTTTAGGCCTTGGGTCGTTAGGGGTTTTGAGCTTTTCTTTTTAGGTCATGCATGGGAGGGGCAAAATGGTCTTTTTCCCTTTGTAAGATTAAATAGGTTTTGGACCGTTGATTATGGGTTAAAACCTTGATTATTAATTAGAGTTGTCTTGGGTTTTGATTAGTGTGAGGAGTCGTGATAGAAGCAACTCCAGTGTGAGATTCAGTTATCTTCAGTTAGAGGTGAGTCTTCTTACCATACTAATGAGTCGAATGCACAAAAGTCGGCCCATTGATTCGTATGTGTAGAATGTATAAGATTATGTAACTATTACTAATGTGATTGTATAATATATGCATGGAGCCAATCTAGGCTCGGAATCATTATGGACTCGGGGTCAGTACGGTCCTAGGGGTTGATACAGACCCGACACAACTATTTGTTTACATGGGGTTGATACGGACTCGAGGGTTGATACGGACCTGACACAACCATATGTTGTTATATTTATGTGTATGATGTATGTGGTATTGTGGGGAAGCTCACTAAGCTTTATTCTTACATATATGTTTTTGGTTTTAGGTACGTTCGGTACTAAAGGGAAGGGTCCGGCGTGATGGCACAATATTCTCCCCCTCATGATTTCTGCATGTATGATCTCTTTTGCTCTGATATTTGCTAATAGTTTGTATTTTAGATGACTTCGAGAAATGTGATATATGGGATTGATGAACTTAAAAATGAAATTTTTACTTATGAATTTTGGGATGTTACAACTTCGTAGTTTGATATGTGATAAAACCATGGTTGGAGATGAATTTACAACTAATATGACAGGTATTTGTTTAAATTCTAGATCTAATGTGTCTAGAACTTGGATTATTGATTAAGGGTGCAAATCAGCACATGATTAAGAATGATAGTGGTCTGATGGATCTGGTTGATGTTTCTATTTTAAAACTTAAAGTTGGTAATCCTAATGGTAGTTTTGAAAATGTTAACAAAGTTGGTAATTTAAAAATATTAGACGCTATTACTCTGTATGAAGTGTTGTGTGTACCTGATTTTGATATCAATCTCATGTATGTTCATTAGCTAACTAGAGAAAAATAGACTTCAAGTCCTCTTTGATGAATGTGGCACTTGTTGAGGCCAACAAAATAAATATTCTTAATATTGCACACAAAATAGCGTATAATGGTAAAGGGATTGTACCATGAAGATTAGTTCAATTTGTTACTTCTATGAAAAATCTCCTTGTTCAAGCACTTTTGAAATAAAGATAAAAATGATTTCATTTAACTAGGCTATAGCAATTCATAAGAATAAATTACATTAACTCTTCTTTGTTATTAAAATGGCTAGGAAAGTTCATAACGCATTTCCTTAATCAAAGTCACAAATTTAATAAAACATGTAATTTTGTAAAAATCAATTAACATTAAGTTTTAAGAGTCACCAATTCCAAAAAAATAATCAAATGCTTACATCATCATTATGGAGGAAATATTTTCATGGCTTATGTGAAATGAAAATAAACACATAAACCATTTGTTACTTACTAATTTGAATGTCCATTACTTAACCAAGAAATTAACCAAGAAAACAAATATTCATTCATCTAAATTCATGATTAAAGACAAACAAACATAAAAAGATATTTAACTACAAAACGCTTCCATAAATCTCAAACACAAGTTCATAAAGAATCTTCAAAGTAACTAGTCATCCGTGGGTTAAACCAGCATCAACCAAAGATAAACTTAGCCTAACATGGTGTTAAAATGATGTCACGTACGATTTAAGAAAATAATATTTTCATTACTCGAATGCACTAAAATGATAGCACATGGAAGCATGGTCGAATCCTCAGGTCACAGCCTAATGGTCAATGTTGTTTTTCGTAAGGCACATACTACTCGCCGCCTCGCTAGTCATCAAGTATTCAGGTGCACTTCCGATACAGTAATCAGCTTTAGCTAATCGTCCACAGTTATGATTTCAAAATTGATGTCCCAAAAAAGTTTTCATCTTGTTTGTACCGATGTCCTTTTCGCACTTCTGATACAGTAATCAGTTTCACATTGGCTCCCAAAAGCTTGTTTAAGATGCAAATAGTCAGCATTAAAATTTAAAAACACTTTTAAACATTTATAACAATATAATTAATATATAAACTTCATTTACTTCACTAATCTAAGCAAGCTTATTTCTTGACTTTGTTATGAGCTTGGAACTACATATTCTGTTCCAGAATAGTCCTTGTAACTAAGGGTACAACAATTCTATATATATATATATATATATATATATATATATATATATATATATATATATATATATATATATATATATCAAATTCTTATGTAAAAAAAGGGTAAACTGGAAAAAAAAAAAAATTAGTGCCAATGTTGACTAATCACTTTTAAAACTTTCAAGACCAGAGGTAAAGCTTCAATGAGAGCATCTACGGTTGCTATTTGTTGTAATGCTCTTTAATTTTTGTAAAACATATGTAATTGACTTCTGTTAAAATCTTACTCAAACCACTTATATTTTCCTAAATATATAGTTGAAATGGGTTGAAATGTTATTCGATTTAGTTGCTAATGATCCTTTTTATTATCGTCTATATTTTCCTAAATTTTTTGTCTATACATTTTGCTATGTCTACAATACACGTTTTGCAAATTTTCATATATTAACATTGGATAATTGCTTTTTTTTTTTTGTCGGTTTGGATGATATTAAAGTGCCACATTGCGATATTAAGGCATGGCATCCATTTTTTCAATATAAATATTGTTAGGATCAATTG